AGTGCAGCAGCTGTCCTGGTGCACTCAGGGACACTCTGACCCTACTCTGCTGTGCCACCGCCTGGGGTAACGATTGCTGTGCTGTGGTGGCTGCAGCCAGGGCGCTGCTGCAGGTGCTGCAGCCCCCGGCGCCTGCCCCGAGTGCCACGCTGTGCTGCACTGCTGTGCTGGTGGCCTCCCGCTGTCCCAGTGCTCATCTTCAGTGCCTCCCCTGGGAAAGAGAGGCTCCCCTTCCCTCGGGCAGCCCCCTGACATCCCCTCACTCTCCAGACACAGTTCTTCTTGAGGCAGGGCTGTTAAATCACAGTCCTGCCTGCCTGAAGCCTTGGCTCAGCAAGGTTGTTGCCAAGCTGTCTCCTCCCTCCCCTGGGTTTTATATACTTTTTTATAGTTGTACTTCTTTAAGTACGGGCTGTAGTGGTTCTTTGTAAGCTGTAGTGAGGTTTGGTGATGTAGCTCCTGGTGCCTTTACCTTGGTAGGTGTCCTTGCACCGACTCAGCTGTGACTTGATTGTCAGTATTATATGCTGCTTCAACTCATTTTATGTATTGAGTAGAATTCTTTTTGTCCTGAGACACAATAAATATTAAGATATTTTACTCTATGAAAGCTCCTTGAAGTTTCTTTTCATGACCTGAAAATTCCTCTGCTTGAAGAGCAGCAAGTCCCCCTGGGGCTGATGTGCTGACTCTGGGCCAGCCAGGAACCTCTGGCCATTGCAGCTTGCATTCCTCCAACGTGCACTTCTGCTTGCAAATAACTTCTGTAATTGAATTTTCTTCATTACAGCTGTTGTGTAACAGTGCTGGAGCAGGGGCCTGGAGCACCCCAGCCCAGGAGGGGAGTGGGTAACTTCAGCCCACAGTGAACATGTGCACCCTTGCTGGCTTGGAGCAAAGGGCAGGGCAGTGCCAGGCCCCAGCTGCTCCCCAGGGCAAGAAATGTGGATTTAAGCTTTGAAATTCATTTGTTACAGCTCATTTTTGGGCTGTTTTGTCAGCAAGCCCCCTGCCTTTGTGAGCCTGGTGCTGCAGTGAAGCACCCTCTGCCAAGCTCGGGGGATTTTTGGGTCTCAAGCACCAAACTCAGTCTGTGCCTGGGTGCTGGGTGAGCTGCCCCAGGCCAGCAGTGCCCTGGCACGGGCCAGCCTGGCTGCTGACGGAGGAACCTGGAGGGAAACGCCCCAAATCCTGGTGTTGCTTTTAGGCAGGTGAGTAAATCAGGCTGCTGCCAGCTCCTGGCTGGCTGGAAGCCTCCTGCCCTGGGATGGCGAGGCAGAATGTGTCAGAGCACCGGAGCTGGGCTGCAGACTGGCTGAGGGCAGTGAAGGGATGGATGGAGGCAGCGCAGGGACACGGGAGAAGCAGGATTTGGATAACCCATCGTCATCTTAAAGCCTGCACAGAGGGAAGGACCCTGCCCTGCCCTGTGCCCCTGCCTCTGCAGGCAGATTCCTGCCTGGGGCATCCAGTGGAGGCGATGCCAGGTGGATGGGAATGGCTCTGGCAGAGGCTGGCACAGGGAGCCTGGAGGTCTCCAAGCAGCTGCAGGAACACCAGCATGGGTTGTGGAGGCTTGTGCAAGCCTGCTCGTCCCCACAGGCAGCAGAAGCACTGCAGCCATCAGAGGGTGTGGATCTTACCTGCTTGAATAGCACTGATGTAGATAACTCACTTTAATTTGGAGAGATGTTTTGGACATACAGGCATGTGCTGGGGGAGGTGCCAGGCAGATTTGGGACACCACTGTCCTGGCAAAGGCGTTGGGTGCACCTTGGTTGGCTGGCTGGACACCTGAGCGGGGACAGAAGCGTTGCTGGCTGGCCCCAGGGCTCTGGCTTCCTGCAGCAGCTGTGGCTGGGTGGGTTTCACAGTCCCCCTGCTGTGTTTGCACCTCCCCTCTCAGCGGGATAAATGTCTCAAGGGACTTGTCAGAAAGGCTTGGTGTCCCCAAGGCTGGCTGGTGTCCCTTGGGACGCGGTGTGGGAGCTCTGCTGCACTGTGCTCCCGGTGTTTTAACCACTTTGTCAGCGCAGCTGTGTACAGGGAGGAAGGGAACAGCCCTCAGAAGGTGCTCACACCCCCATGGGAGCTGTGGGGATGTGAGGGGCCCTGGGGATGCCACACCTGGCACCTGTCTGTGTTCCCTGCTCTGTCTGCACATTCGGGCCATGGCAGTGTGCTCCCTGGTGGCACTGAGGGCTTTGCCTGGTGACACCTGCAGCATGTCAGAGCTCCTCAGAGCAGCTGGGATGAAATCTGGGACCTGCCTTTGGCATGAGCCCCAAGGTCACGGGCAGAAGATGATGCCCAGGGGTGCGCGGGGATTTTGGTGTAAGCCTTCAGCCCTGTGGCAGGCAGTGTCCTGCTCAGAGCACTGCAGTGTTCAGGACTTATTTCTTCCCTCCTGCAGCTCCGGCTTCGCCCATGTGTTGGTGGCAGGGCTGGGGACACCTGTTGGCCCTGGGGCTCCTCCACAGGAGTGAACTCCTCTGACTTTGGCTGCTCGGTTCCTCAGGGAGCTCCTTGTGCCAGCTTCGCCCTGTGCCTGTGCTGCAGCAGCTCTGGAGAGGACAGTGGCACTGAGCTGCCAGAACAAGTGCTGGACACCCAGAGCACACTGGAACAGAAGGTCAGGACGTGCTGAACAGCCACCAGCACCACCGGGGAGCACATCGGGGACCGCTGTGCGCTGCGGGCGAGCCCAGCGCTGGCAGCACCTGAGTTATGGATGCTCCTGACGGGGCAGCCACGCAATTAGATCACTTCACAGACCCATTAAGCATCAGACTGAGACCCAACGACTTTCCATTCTCTTTGCAATCGCTCATACAAGACGTTTATTGCTCGCCTCTTGCACAGCCTGCGGGAGCTGCCGCGGCTGCCAGGTGTGCAGGCTCCTGCCAGGTGTGCAGGCTCCCCGCAGGTGTGCAGGCTCCCCGCAGGTGTGCCCGGGCCGTGCCCACCGTGCCAGCAGCGCCTGCAGGGCGGCAGAGCGGGCACGGCCGGGCTACACCCGGCCCAGCATCCGCGCGATCCACCAGTTGCAGGGCATGATGATGCGGCAGATGACCCTCCCGCCCTGGTAGCAGTAGGGGTAGGGGTAGTAGCCCAGCAGGGGCTCGCAGACCCGCCGGCAGTAGCGGTTGGCACGGCGGCACTGGGCACAGCAGTAGCCTCGCTCATCCCACAGCGGGTGGAACTCCAGCCCGTTCTCCGACTGCCAGGAGGAGACAGAGTCAGGGCAGGGAGGGGGCTGTGGGGTTGGGCACCCCGGGGGCGTGGGCAGGACAGCCTGGGAGGGCACTCTGGGCACCCCAGGAGAGGCACAGACACATGGAGACACCCCACTCCTTCCCTCCCGCGGCCCAGGCTTCACCCAGGTGTTGGTGACATGGCTGCAGACACCTGGTGGCACCTGGGCTGCTCCACGGGACATGCACATCCTCCCCACGGGCATGCAGGGGCACCCCAAGGAGCACAGCTGGGGCACCCTTGGCCATGGCCGAGCTCGCCAGGACTGTGGCCAGGGCAGCCCAGGGTGGCACTCCCTCACTCACGTAGTCGTTGACAGGCAGGTCCTCCTCGGTGAGCTGCCGTGCCCTCCGCCTGGGCCCTGCCCGCCTCTCCTGCTCCTGCTCCTGCTGCTGCTCCTGCTGCTGCTCCTGCTCCTGCTCCTGCTCGCTGCCCCCGGCCAGCCAGCTCTGGCTGGCAGCCAGCAGCTCAGCCTCTTCTTCCTCTGCCCCTTCCAGCTTGGCCAGCTCGGGAGCTACAGGAAGAGTCCAAACGTTACTGTCAAGAACCATGGAACAGTGGGACAAATGCAGCAGCAAGAATTAATGTCTCTGCCAGAATCCAGCACCAAGGTACACGAAAAGCAGCCCAGTGCTGCATTGCCTCCTGCTCCCTCTCACCCAGCCTGGGGCAGGGCTGTAGGAGATGTGGCCCATTCCATCCCCGTGCCCATGGGTGGGTGCTGGCACCTCCTGCATGGGGCCGTGGGTGTGCAGAAGCACATCCTCCTGGTGGGCTCTGCTGCTGGGGGCTGGATTTGTAGGGCCCCATCAAAGCAACATGATTTGGGGCAGATCCTGCCCAGCTTCAGCTCTCTCAGCTCAGGAAAGAACCACAGCAGCAATAGTTTGCTGTGCTAGGGAAGGTGCCGCACAGCCTGGGGACGCTGCTGTCCTGGCAAAGGCTTTGGGTGCTCCTTGGTGCCCCAGCTGGCCTCACGGAGCCAGGACTCTGCTGCAGGTGGGTCTAACAGCAGGGACAAGAGAGGGGACAGCAGTCAGGACAGCAGCCTCCTTGCACGGGGAGCTCTGTGCCCAGCTGCCCTCCGGAGCGCCGTGAGCTGCCAGAGCCTGTGAGCGCTGCCCTGCGCCTCTGTGGCTGCAGAGCACGGGGAGTTTGCTCAGCAGGGGCTTTTCAACTGCCTCATTTGGCTGGAAGTGGGTTAGAGAGAGCAGGTAATTACAGCAGCACATCTCCGAGGCCACAACCTCTGCAAGGGCTCTGTAGTGAGCAGCTGGAGGTGGCAACCCCGCCGTGTGATTTAGATGCAGATGTCTGCTCACGCTCTGATGTTCATGTGGTGACGAGGATTTAGGCGTCCCAGTTTCCAGCAGCGCTGCTTTCTTTGCAGGTACAAGGGATTATTTTTTTTTTCCCCTTGTTATGAGGAGGGTGGCCACTCTGCAAAGTGCAGGGCAGCAGGGAGCTGGCAGAAACAAGTGCTTTGTAGAGAGGAACTTCAGCCCCTGCTATTACATGGGCCGTGATCTCCTGTGGTCACGGGCAGCACTGTGTTCATGTTTGAGATGCACAACGAGGCTGGGAAAGTGGGTTCCCACCGTGTCACAGAGGGGCAGGTGACAGGGGGGCCACAGGTGTGTGACAGAGCTGCTCCCAGTGAAGGGCTCATGGGCCCCTTGGGGAGGAGATGGCTCCTCGTACCTGCTATTGGCGTGGGGTGGATCCAGAAGATGGTCACGTTTTTGCAGATGTCAAAAATTTTGGAGCTCTTCAGGAATTCCTTGTTCTGAATGGGCTTTTCCCCAGGCACCCAGACCACAGACTGCTCAAAGTAGGTGGTGGTGATTTCTTGTCCCTGGAAGAAGAGCAGGACATTACCCTGGCGTGGTGAGACACCCTGTTCCCACCACTGGCTGCTTCTCCTCCCCTTGGCTTAGAGGCACCTCTCTCCCCCCAGAGAGCAGCTGGACTTCACCTGCCTTGGCTCATGGTGCTCAGGGGATGCACGGGCAATGCCCAACAGCCCTCGCCACCCTGCTCTCCTCTCCCTTACTTCATCACCCCAGACCTTTACCTGCACAGTCCCCACTGTCTGGAAGAGCCTTCTGGAGCCCCCCTGGTCGTTTAAAACACAAGATTAAAACACCTCTGCTCTACTTTGCTCCCAGGATTTAATTCCTCTCTCCTTCTGCTACTGATTTTTTGATCGAACGCTTTAATTTACTCCTCGCAGAAATTCTTTGCACGCTGTATTCTGTAATTTATACCACATGTCTCTGCCGTTGCATTAGTCCGTGGTGTGTTTTGGCAGGCACTTAGGGAGGGAGATATATAAAGATTATGGGCTGGGTCTGCTCTGAGCTCTCTGCCAAGGCAACGCTGTCTGTGTTGGTGCTGGTAGCCCATAGAGCAAGCTGGCAAAAAGTGTTTTTCTCTCCAGAAGGCATTTAGAGCTGTATATCTCTTTTATAGAGTTTTTCCTTACAGCTGTGGGAAGTCATAGGAAGGAGCCAACACAACCCGACCCAGTCTGGGTCATTTTTGGAGTCTCTGGCAGAAGCTGCAGGGTCAGGGGGGTGCTGCCTGCAGGACCTGGCAGCGTGCAGGCTCCAAGAAGACATGACTGGAGCCTAAATCTCCATTTATCTCACTGGCTTTTACATTTCAGCTCTCTACCCGGGGCAATGTTCTGCTACAGCCTGGGAAGTTATATCCCTTTTACGACGGTAGCTGAAAAGATCTATTAGCTTCTTAGGGCATAATCAAAGAATCGGTGTCTGGGAATTTGGGTCATGATTCAGGGAAATGTTTCTGCCCACGCTTCATTTCAAACACGTGTCCTGCTGGCTTTTTATCTGCAGCAGCTTCCCTAGGGGGGTTCAATCTGCTAACACCCGTCCTCTTGCGAATGGGGAGGCAGGAAGGCTGTGCCACCCCCGGGGCCTGGGGATGGGGACAGGGACAGAGGATCGCTGCTGTCACGGGACTGAGCTGTCCCTCCGGGTCACACTGTCAGGGAGGGGTTAAATCATGGAGCCCACGATTTTTCCATGCAGCAGGCAAGGCGTGAGGCTCCTTGCAGCAGGATGCAGGGCATTAAATGGGTGCAGGAAGCGATCAGGCACACCAGTGGGACATGAGGTCCATGCAGGACAAGGAGGTGCCTCAGCCTGCTGCTTCCCACCTCTCAGGTCTGCATGCCCAGAGTTTTCTCAATTTACATTTCTCTTTTAAATCCCTTATTTCTGCCTCATTCTGTTTGAAAACATGAAGCTCAAATCTTGGAGAAAACAATTTGATTGACTTTTTGGTCCCTGCTAATCCTGAGCTGCCTTACGACCTTTCGACTACAACAGGATTATTGTTCTTGATCTCTGGTATTGTGCTGAGAGGCTTTTGTCTGCTGCTTTCTAATCCAATCTCTTTTCACTTGTTTTTATAAGCAATCCTCTGAAATAAGATCAGTTTATGAAGCGATCACAACTCATTATTTCTTTATTGCAGCATCTCTGGGAAGGCAGCAGGAGTGGCAGCCCCCATGGCAGGGAAAGGAGCGGATTTCACAGAGTGGGGATCCCTGTTTTATTCACCCACCTCAAGCTCAGGGATCTTGGCCTCTGTCGTCTCAGGTAGGACTTTAGTCTGAGTTTTGATGAAACATTTTTGAAGTCCCACAAAGAAGATGCCAGTTATTCCCTACAGGATCAAAGCAAACACTCAAAAAGCAGTCAGGGCAAAGGGTAGGAGGTAGGGTACAGCTGGAGGAGGAAGGTTTAGTCATATTTTTCCTGTTGCTATTTTTGTGCCAGTTCCGTTCAGCAGTGGTGCTAAGATGTACTAACAGGTTCTCATAAGGGATATTGCATTTTATGGTTTGGGAGAACTGGGCTTTTTACAAATATTTTAAGGCAGGTAGTCATAAAATTTTACTCTGCTCCTCTTCTCCTGATAACTATCATGAGCTCTCATTATAATAAATAAAAATATGCAGAATAGCATCTGACCGTTATGGTTATATGAACATTCAGCCCCCAGTTTCTGCTAGGTTATTAGCTCAAAATTTTGCCATATGTCACTGCACAGGGTATTTCCCTACAAATTTTAATTAGGTTTCAAAGAGAGCCTTCTTCAGTGCCATGAGGTTTTAATGCTCTCCAGACAGACAAATGCACTGAGCTCAGGTGGACTGATGATCATGGTGTTCTTTTGCAAGGGTAAATCAAATAACTAGCTCTGGATGCTAAGATGTATTTAACTGGAACTGAACCACGCCACCATTAAATACAGGTGGAAGCTTATGTAGATCAGACATCTCCTCTCCTCTGAGAGCATCCCCAGCGTGTCTGGGGCTCGCCCTCCCCGATGCAGGAATAAATACTGCTGGGACGTGCTCCAGCAGCTTCACAGAGTCCTGCAGGGTCCCATCAGTCCTGCTGCAGGACAAGCTGCCCCACTCACGTTTTTGAAGTCATGGATCTCCAGGATCTCCTCGCTGCCGTTCCCGCTGCTGAAGGTCTCTGTCCTGGCCAGAGGGTCAATCTCCATCACGATCTTCTTCTTCTCGCCGTTGCTGAAGAAGGTGTGCTCCATGTCATAGACCTGGGAGGCCAAAGTCACACAGGGCTCAGCTGAGCTCCCCTCTGGTTTCACAGGCTGTCCAGCGGGCAGACAGGCTGTGCTGGCTGTGTGACACCGCTGCTGGGGACCCTGCCGAGGCACTGGCTGCTCCCTCACAGCAATCACCAGGGCAGAACGAGGGGAGGCAGCTCCCAGGGGCAGCCTGGGCTGGTGACAGGGCAGGCTGCAGCCAGGACGAGGGGCAGGGCATCAAGGCTGGGATGTGTGTCAAACCTGGGAGGAGATGCACCTCTTACAGCTGCAGCGGGAGCTTTGCCCAGCTCAGCCTTCGCTGGTGCTTTCTGTGGCATGAGCCTGGTGACATCCCAGGCTGGACTGAAGCCTGGAGCCCACAGGTACTTCACTCTCCCTTCTCCCTGGCCTGCTGTTCCACACTGCATCCCTGGCTCCTCTGCTCCATGGCGGTGTCCCCGGCTCGCCTGCTCCACCGTGTCCTCCCCAGCTTACTGCTCCAGCTCTGTGCCTTCTGTTTTTCCTGAAAGGCAGAGGATGAGCCTCTCTCTGCCTGGAGGAGATCAAGGATTGCCTGCGGATCAAAGACCTCCTGGAGCTGCTGCAGAGCTCCGGGTTTGGCAGCGGCTCCCCGGGGAGCAGCCGCCCGCTCCCCTGGCAGGTCTGGCCGCACACCACAGCCCCACAGCCTCGCTCTCTGCGGGTGCCTGGCCCTTGCAGCATGGATCAGCAGTGGCAGATGCTATTTGAAGCACAGAAACGATCCTGCTGGCGGGCCCTGGGGAGCCTCGCTTCCCAAATCGAACTGCGTGGAAGAGAAGGGCTTGTGCAAATCCCCTCCAGTTCACCAGGCAGAGATGGAGGCACGGGGATGGGAGAGCCCTGCTCATCCCACGGCATGGCCATGGAACCAGGGCAGGAGCTCTGCCCTTAGTGCCAGCCCAAACCCCTGTCACAGTGCCCTGGTTCCTGCACATCCCTTCCCTTGGGGGTTCAAAGCCTCTTAGCAGCGTTCCAGCATCGGTATCCCCCATTTGGCACCCACATGGGTGCAGAACCGCCTGTGCAGATGGGAGTGATGGGAACATTCACACCTCTGCTCAAAGGTTAGATGAGTGATGTGCGCCTTGGCAGCCACGGACACCTCCTGTTGGTCTGCAGGAAGACTTTGTAGAGATATACAGCTCTCCATGGATTTTATGATATGGGAAAACAGTCTGAAGCCTAAAATGGGTGAAAGGTGGCTGGTTTTGACTGACAAAATGCACCCTGTGCCATAAATCACCTCAAGGAGGGCAGGATCCCGGGTGGCACCTTACCTTCAAGTACAAAGAATTACTCTGGCCAGCGCAGCAGCCAGCTAACCCACTTGGGCTTTGCCAGCTCTGCGCTGCTCAGACAGCTATGAGATGTTTTATAGGGCTAAAAATGACACTTGCTGGTGAATGGTTGAATTATGTCCCTCTGCAAGGCTGTGATGAACCCCTCGTTAGCTGAACCATCAGCTGTGCTGGCTGGCCAGGAGGCTGCTGTGCAGAGGGCAGAGCGTGTCCAAGGCCACCCCTCAGAGGAACAACCTTCTTTCAAGTTTTTTTCCACTCTCCAGTTACATGAAGGAAGCTTGGAGGGTTTCATCTTCTTTAAAGAGTTGAATTCCCCTTGGCTGATATTTTTGAGTGTTACCAACTTCCAGTCCCCCCAGCCGGTTTGTCCTGAGGACTCCCGGGCCAGCTGGAGAAGCGCCACAGCCACAGGGACAGGGCAGTGCTGGGCTCGGGGAGTGTGTGTGTGCAGCTCTGCTGCAGGAACAGCTCTCCTTTCCGTGACCTCCCACCCCAGCTGCCTGCCCATCAGGTGCTGGGGAGTGCTGCATGGATTCCATCTTCCACCGGTGAGCACACCGAGAGCCGGGCTCTGGATGTCCTTTCTGAGGCTGTGGCATTGTCCCCGCACCGCCTGCTTGGAGAAAACCGCCCCTCCAGGGGTTAACAGCCTCTTCCCCTCACGGCTGGCATGACCCCTGTTTTTCTAGGAACAGTAGAGACTTTATAATCGTCTTGGCAGGATGCTGGAGGAACATATGGCTTTTATTGTTCTTCCTTTTATTTCAGGGGGTATTTATTTCTATTTGCTGATAAGCAGATAAAGTTTCCAGCGAGCAGGGTGCTTCCTCTGCCCGGTAGGAGGGTGGCCTGGCCAGGCTGGAGCAGCTCCAGGACAGAGCAGGGAGCACATTGGAGATGCCAGCGTGGGAAAGGGGCTGCCTTGGCTGTGCACAGGAATTTTGGAGATGTTCTCCAGAGCCAGCAAACCCACTGGTGATGGGGTGCAGAGCGGGGCCTCCTGGATGAGCATGGAAATTCTCAGGAAAGGAGGATGAGGGGCAGCAGGCAGGCTGTGGGTTTCAAGGTTAAAGGATTTGCTGGGGCTGTGGGATGAAGAAGGGCTTTGGCAGCACTGCCGGGATGCTGGGCAGCAGCGGGCAGGGACGGCTGGGCATGCACAGCCCTGCTGCCGCCCCGGCACCCACAGCAGCGTCCCTCTGCAGCTGGGAATAAAGGAGCCC